GGAACAAAACTCAAAATCATTTGGGGAAAAAAAAAAAAACATGGGGAACAGGTTTGCTGGCCCGAGGGAGCCTGGTGGAACCACTGAGACTATGGCCCCTAGCTGCCCTTCAGGTCTGGAATTGAACGCACACCTGTGGCTTCCGGCCAAACAACAGACAGGCCTATCAGGTGAGCATTTACCTGATGTAGGTACACTTCTTAGAGAGAATAAGCATGAAAGAAAGAAGGGAAGTGGGACAGGAGCTGTTGCATTGTGGTAAATTGTGGTCAATGTCATGAGACAAAGTGTATGTGAACTGCTGTATGGAAAGTGCATTTATGCTGTAAATTTTCACCCAAATCACAATTTAAAAAAAAAAAAAAGAATGCCCCTTCAGGTATGCAAGACATCAATTTAAGGAGAGGGTTAACCTTTAATCACGATCATTTTCTTTCTTTCTTTTTTTTCTCTTCTTTATTTAAAATGTTTTAAGAATTCTTTCTTTAAGAGGAGCTATTACATTGTGAGGAACTACACAATGTCATGAAACAAAATGTGTATGAACTGCTATATGGAAAATGAATTTGCTCTGTAAACTTTTACCCAAATCACAATAAAAATTTAAAAAAAGAATTACTTAATATTTTTTTTTTACAGTACTATATACCTATAAAGGAATTCTGGTGGTGTAACGGGTAAGGCATTTGGCTCCTAACCAGGTTAGCAGTTTAAACCCACCAGCCACTACACAGGAGGAAGATGAGGCAATCCACTTTCATAAAGATTTACAGCCTTGGAAACCCAACAGGAGTCCTTATGAGATGGAATCAACTCAATGGCAAAGGGTATACCTAAACACATACACACATAGATTTTCTCTTTCTCTCTTGAGTGCAGTGCCAAATGTAGTTACTTTTATTATTACTGTGTTATTATTACTCAGGTATTATGTTTAAGATGCTGTGGTATATTTGGAAGTGTTTCTTAAGTATTTTATATGCATAGAAGAGTAAGATATATACTATATATTAAGACAAACATTTGACTTTGATGTACCTATTCCAACTTACCTATAAATTCAACTTAGACAAACTTAGGAACAGATATTTTTCTTAACCTGGGATTGTCCATATATATAAATATATATATGTATATAAACTAAGTATATTATATGTATTTTTAAAAAAAACCTCATACTTAGGTATGAGCTATGCCTGTACTATAAATCCTTAAAAAGAGAATTTCATTTTGATAAAGTCATAGTCAACAAGAAGTTTTACCCAATTTAACTTTTTTATTTCCATTTTAATGTTTATTTTGGAGTCCCTACTATGTGACAGCATTGAACTAGATGCTTTATACACATAATCATTTATCTCATTTTCTTAATGAGAACACTGAGTTTATTCTGTTATGTATATATTGCCTACGGAGAGGGTAAACCAATTAAAAAATAATAATAATGAGCTTTATACACATGTGTATGTGTACTAGAGAAGGGATTAGAACCCAGGCACTGACATCTGGAGTCTTCACTCTTACCCACTAAGCTTAATGGCCCATCTTAAACGTTGAAAAACAGAAACAAAATGTGACTTTTAAAATAAAAATAATTTAGGTAAAAAATTGTAACTTCTAGAATAAGGTACCATGATTGTGAAATCGGTACATAAAATATCAGACATTTAAAATTCTTACTATACTAAAAGTATTTTATTTTATTTTTGGTTTCTCTGTTGCTGTTAGTTACCCTTGAGCTGGCTTCCATTTATGATGTCATCATGTATATCAGAACAAAGCACCGCCCAGTTCTGTGCCATCTTCATAGTTGTTGGTACATTATATGGTTGATAACTGTGCTTAATTATCAAAAAGTGTCTAATTTTTTTCTTTTGAGTATTGTACTACTAACATGTTTGTTATCTCTCTAAAGATTTTAATACCATTGATATCTAAGATCCCTTCCAACAACATTGTGAGTTACTATAGTTGAGGATCTAAAATTAAGAACATGGAGAACAGTAATTTAGATCCATGTCTTTGTCTCTAGTAATTTCTGAAAAGATTCTAAAATTCTCAAGGAACCACACTTGTATAAAGTTTTCATACTCCAGCCATTTATCCAGTATAACATTCTTTTCTTTTAAAACACTTATTTGATCAAACTAATCAATTCTAAGGAACTCTTGTGGTGGACAGTTCCTCAGGAAGTTAAGCATAGAGTTACCATACAAAACATAACACAATCACTGCCGTGGAGTTGGATCTGACTCATAGTGACCCCTCCTTGGGTTTCCAAGGCTGTATCACTACAGAAGTAGATTGCCCAACCTTTCTTCCGAGGAGTGGCTGGTGGGTTTGAACTGCCAGCCTTCTGGTTAGCAGTCAAATGCCTTAGGCACTACCATATGAACCAGTAATTCCATTCCTAGGCATATATCCAAAAGAACTGAAAACATATGTCCACACAAAAACTTGCAAATGAATGTTCATAGAAGCATTATTCAAAACTGCCAAAAAGTAGAAACAAATGCCCATCAGTTGATTAATAAACAAAATGTGATATAGCCATATAATCAAAGATTATTTGGCCATAAAAAGAAATATAGTATTAATACATGCTAAAGCATGGATGAACCTTGAAAACTTTATGCTAAGTAAAAAAAAGCCAGACACAAAGGACACATACTGAATGATTCTACTTATATTAAATGTATAGAATAGGCATATCCATATAGAAAGCAGACTCATGGTTGCCATGGGCTACAGAAGGGAAGAATGGAGAGAAACTGCAAATGGGAATGGGGATTCTTACTGGAGTGAGGAAAACATTGCTAAATTAATAGTGCTATTTTTTTTTTGTTTGTTTATATTGGTTGCATAGAAGGAGCTCTGGTGGCGCAAGTGCATAAGGCAATTACCTGCTAACCAGAGGTTGGTGGTTCAAATCCACCAGCTGCTCCACAGAAGGAACATGACCCAATCTATGTCTATAAAGATTTACCACTTTGGAACCCAAAAGGGTTTCCCACGAGTCAGAATTGACTCAATGGCAGTGAGTTTGGTGTTTTTTTGGTTTAATGGTTGCATACCCCTGTGAATATATTAAAAACCAATGAAGCATATCTCTTCAAATGGTGAATATAATAGTATGTGAATTACATCTTAATAAAAATGAAACGTTTTAAAAAAAATAAAAAACAACTAATCAACTCACCTGCCCTTTCTGTGGTGCCAAACAACGAACAACTGCATCCACCATTACTGGAATATGTATCTTAGCTACAGCTTTAGAATCTTCATCATGACTTAGGTGTAACTCCTGAGCTCCAGTTTTGCATGTTTGCTCCTGGGTTTCATGTTCATTATATCTATCTGCTGTAGTATGCATATATTTTGGCCGGGTACCTAAATTAAGCATGCCAGATTCCAACCAGAATGAAAAAAGTTCTTTATAGAGTCCACAAAAATATGAGCATCGAAGCATTCTGTGGGTCACAAAATCTAGGGAAAAAAAATGAAAAATATGATGACAGTTGGATATTTTAAAAAGGGTAACACCTGGAAGAAAGCAAATCCATACACATGTATAAAACAGTCACAAAAAAAAAAAAAAAAAAAAAAAAACTACAGCAGACTTATCATCTGACCACATTGAAGAAGTGAAGGTAAATCATCTCCTTATATAAAGCAAGTAACCTAAGAGAACCCCAGAAACAATCATTACATCCCCAGGACTCCTGTTCAATTAATCAGAACTATTTATTTGAAATGCCACCTGGATGACAGAGGGGTTATAACTATTATCCTATTTTAGGTTCAAGTGGTCTTTTATTTCAAGCTCTTCTATGTGCTTTTCACATAACGCTGAATTCTCACCTTCGTTTAACTTTGTATAAGAGATTGTCCCTAGAAAAGGACAATGTGTGTCCATCCAAAAAGAAAGGGAGATGACTAGTCTAAAATTCCTATAGACCTGTCATGGATAATTCTTTTAAGTCATCATCTCACCATGGCATATATTAGTATACAAATATATATTAATTTAAATTATAATTTCTTAAGTAGGAGCTCTGGTAGCATAGTGCCTAAGGCAAATGACTGCTAACCAGAAGGCTGGCGGTTCAAACCCATCACCCACTCCTCAGAAGGAAGGTTGAGCAATCTATTTCCGTAGTGATATTGCCTCGGAAACCCAAGGAGGGGTCGCTATGAGTCAGGTCTGACTCAACAACACATAACAACAACCACAATTTGATAAGCACTCAACTGAGTGGAATTTCAGACCCACTTTTTTTTTGGTTTTGGTTTTGATTTTCTGCTCTCTGGCCCTAGAAAAGGGCAAATAGATAAATTACACATTCTTTGAATTTCTCATACTTGCTCCATTTTCTTAGGCAATGTATAACTATTTAAAATGCAGAGGAAAAATGTACTGATATAAATATATTAACAGAAGACCTTCAGAAAACATTTTGCTTTTCACTGAATTATTTTCTAGAAATATTTTTGATAACACAGTAAATACCCAATCAACATCGCTTTTTTTTCTTCGCTGATTATGAGTTATTTAAAAATAAGACCCACATCTTTGTGCCCACAAAATCAGATACACAAGGTGCTTAGTAATTGTTTTCAGAGAAAATGAATAAATTGATAAACACCAGACTGCACAGAACAAACATTTATCAAATCTCACTTTAGGGAATTCCACCTGTCCGACCCACCCCACCAAAAACCATGTTGTCAAAATTCTTCAAGAATATAAATCTCATTAAAATATGTCTTCACTTTCTTTTGTAACAGAATAAAATTTTGATGTTATATAACATCAACAAATGTTATCTTGACAATAATGTTATAATATACATATTTCATAATATGTAAGTAAAACATAGGAGCTCTGGTAGCATAGTGCCTAAGGCACTTGTCTGCTAACCAGAAGGCTGGTGGTTCAAACCCACCAGCCATTCTTCAGAAGGAAGGTTGGGCATTCCTACTTCCATAGTGATACTGCCTCAGAAACCCAAGGAGGGGTCGCTATGAGTAGGGGCCGACTCAACGGCACATAACAACAAGTATAACATAAACAAAGGTTATTTTCAAACTAATATGTTAATTAACTTTACCAAAAACATAAATCCATAGAATTATGTGGCAAATGTGACACAGAAAAAAATTTGGCAAAAATCTTAGTAAAGGCAGGAAATGACTGTTTTAAGCAAATTTTTAGCTGTTTAGAAGTACTACCTTAAATTATTAATTATGTTTCATATTTTCCAGAAAGCTTATACAAAGTAAATTCAGCTACCCTCTAGGGTTTCTAACACTTTTCAAAATAATAGCTATTATTATTGAACACTTACTATATACCAGTTTCTATTTTATTCTATTCATGCCATGTACTAGGGGCTCTGGTGGAGTAATGCCTAAGGCATTTGACTGCTAACCAGAAGGCTG